CATCAAGGTGGGCCCTGCAGCTGGCCCAAAGAACCCGGGGTCCCGTGGGCCTTGCCTGCCCACTCTCTTAACCTGATGTCTACCCTCCACAGTACGGCTGGGTGGGCCGGTGGATCCGGCCAAGGAAGGGGACGCTGGGGGCCATGGACCTTGGGGGTGCCTCAACACAGATCACCTTTGAGACGACCAGCCCATCTGAAGATCCAGAGAGTGAGGTCCATCTGCGGCTCTACGGTCAGCACTACCGTGTCTACACCCACAGCTTCCTTTGCTACGGCCGAGACCAGGTTCTCCAGAGGCTGCTGGCCAGTGCCCTCAAGGTGCCTTCCCAACCTCAGCCACCATACCACACTAGTGCCTCCTTGAGGGAAGGGAAGCAGAAGGGACCTGAGGCAACAGAGCAGAATCAGGGAAGCAGTTCATACTGACTTCGGGGCCTGTATAAAAGAGGCCTCTTTTTACAATCACACATAGCTATGAGGTCCACAGTGGGTCAGACCTCCATGATGGTGTCCGACGCCTTCAGCCGCAACCACCAGATCACCTGACCAGGGCTTCTCCAGCTGGGTGTGCCTCAGCTTAAAGACAGGTGGGGAGGAACTCGATAGGATAAAGGGTCAGGAATAGAGGTAAGGAGAGCCAAGGGTCACCTCACAGAACCTCGAATACCTGGCCAAAGTGTTCACTGTTTGTTTGGCAGATAATGGTTAGCCATGATTGTTCATGAACACAACAGGGGAGTCGCCCACAGCATGCTACTTCTCTGGTGGGGTGGGTAGCAGTAACAGAGTGGGAAATTCCATCTGTGCTCTGGCTAACTCCCCAGATCCACCACTTCCACCCCTGCTGGCCGAAGGGCTAATCCACCGAAGTGCTGCTCCGAGATGTCTACCGGTCACCATGCACCACGGACCTGCGTCCTCAAGTTTTCAACAGCAGCGCCCTTATCAGACTTTCGGGGACCAGCAGCCCCGCCCTCTGCCGTGACCTAGTCTCTGGGCTCTTCAACTTCTCCTCTTGCCCCTTTTCCCAGTGCTCCTTCAATGGGGTCTTCCAGCCGCCTGTGACGGGGAACTTCATAGTGAGTCTGGGTAGATGGATGCGGGGGCAGAGGGGCACCAAGCATCTGGGGTCTTATGATAGACTGTACAACTCTTTCTCCCACAGGCCTTTTCTGCATTCTACTACACTGTGGACTTCCTCAGGACGGTGATGGGGCTGCCTGTGGGCACCCTGCAGCAGCTGGAGGCAGCCGCGGAGACCGTCTGTAACCAGACCTGGGCTGAGGTGAGACCTGTTCCCCACAGTCTCCATGGCTGGGCAGGAGGCTTGCCCATTCATTAGCTGTATGCAGAGAGAGACCCAGTCATTTCAAAGTGCTGACTGCCATAGACAGACTCCAGAGAGGGCCAGGCTAATGTAGGGGAGCCTGGGGCTGGGAAAGCAACCAAAGTCTAGAGAGCAGGTCTCCTGGGGACAGGTATTGCAAAGGCTCCGTGGCAACAGGGAGCTCAAAGTAGGCTGAGACAGACAGGCAGGTGTCTAGGAGAGAGTGTGGAAGGTCTCACCAGCTGGAAAAGAACACTCAGGAGAGACTCAGCAGGGCCTAGGGTATGCCCAGAGGAGTTGAAGATGCCACCAGATTTCTGGTTCTAGCCACTGCCTGAATACTAGCTCCAGGTAAGGAAGAATAGAGAGGTCTGGATAGCTGGAGTGTGAGGTGACCACCAAATCTCCTGGAGAAATAAGTTCTCCAGTCTTAGGCACCCTTGACGGTCCCAGAAAAGTGGGACTAAGCCGTCAGAGAGCAGCATTCAAGGCTGGCCTTCTGTTCCTTTGATTATGAAGCAAGGGTGTTTCCTAGTGGCTACCCTTGCTGTCCTCTCCATCTGGCTGTTGGAAGGAGGACACAGGGCCTTCCAGCAGTCATATGGTTTATCCCTGAGGAGTATCTGTCTGGGAAGGGCGTTTTGGACTAGGTCTTTCTATTTCCGGCCATAGGGCTCTCTTGGCCTGAGCAGTAGGGAGGGTGCCGCACCCCGTGGGCCATAGCTCCTCGTGGTTCTTAATCTAACGACGTCTTGCTCTCTTCTTAGCTTCAGGCCCGAGTGCCAAGGCAGCAGGCCCGCCTGGCTGACTACTGCGCCGGAGCCATGTTCATACAAAAGCTACTAAGCCGCGGCTATGGCTTCGACGAGCGCTCCTTCAGCGGCGTGGTCTTCCAAAAGAAGGTGGGTGATGGGTGGGGCCGGAGGATTCGGGGCGCGGTCTCTTGGAAGCTGACGCCACGCCCCCTCTTAGGCCGCAGACACGGCTGTCGGCTGGGCGCTAGGCTACATGCTGAATTTGACCAACCTGATTCCCGCTGACCTTCCGAGACTACGTAAAGGAACGCACTTCAATTCCTGGGTCGCTCTCCTCCTGCTCTTCGCAATCCTGCTCTTGGCGGCGCTGGTCCTGCTTCTGCGCCAGTTGCGCTCGGCCAAGTCTCCAGGCGCCCTCTAGGGGTGCACCGGGAGCTGCTGCCAACTCCCCAGGGCATCCCTGTCACAGTCAGCCTGAGGATCCACATCCCTACATTCACAGGAAGCCTTGGTAGGCCCCTGCAGTTTTCTCCAGCCGGGAGTTCTCAAGAATTTCCTCTCCCCTCTCTTCCTGGGGTGTCAAGTCTCTCAGTCTGTGACTCAGGGTGAGGTCCGCTCAGAGAGGGACATTTGTTCTGATCTTCAGGGCCCTGGGAATTTCCTGTGCGTACTCTGGGCCTTAGATAGGCAACCACCAGAGCCTACAGGCTAGGAGTCCGTTCAATGCCTACTTGTAAAAAAAAAATTGTAATAAACGATTTTTCCTAGAGCAGTGAAGTGTTCATAGGGTGGGGCACCCTTCTGCTGTCCCTCCTTCCAGCTGTCGGTAATTCCGCTCTAGCCTTGGTTCCAAGATACTGTCTTTTCTTGCTTCCTTCCTTTCTGGACCAGACCTGAGGCAACGAAGGAACTCCTTTACACTGGTCTGGGTTGTCCCCGAGTCTGAGTCTTCTCTGATTGACAGAACCCTAACAAACCCCATGACCCCCCTTGATGATGGGTAGGAATTGAGGATGCACCCCGAGGTTTTTCTCCCCGACTGCAGAGGCTCCCGAAGTATCAGGAGCTCTCCATTCCACAGCCAAAGTTTCTGTGTCCTCTGGGCAGAAAGAATGGCCTGGGTATGCAATTCTCCCCTACCTCTTTTGTGGGAAATGAGTTCAGACACAATTTCTGTTCTCTCGGTGTTTTAGGGCTGGTTGGGGGTGCACACGCATGCGCACACATGGCGCCGTTGTTTGATACATTTTGTTAACCTGTGTAGCAAGTCTCCACTCTGACACCATGAACCCGAGGGAGTAAAGAACCGCAGGGCTGGGGAACTCAACCTTGCTCTTTTCTTTGTTTTATGGGTTTTTTGTGTGTGTGTGTGTGTGTGTGTGTGTGTGTGTATGTGTATGTGTGTGTGTTTGCTTTGCTTTTCAAGACAGGGTTTCTCTGTGTAAGCTTTGGCTGTCCTGGAGCTGCTCGGCAGACCAGGCTGACTTTGAGCTCAGAGATCTGCCTGCCTCTGCGTTCCGTGTGCTGAAATTAAAGGTGTGCACCACCAGTGCCCCACAAGGTTTTTTCCTTCTGTTTTACATTTTTAAGACAGGGTCTCACTATGTAACCCTGGCTGTCCTGGAACTTGATATGTAGAGCAAGCTGGTCTCAAGCTCACAGATAGCTCCCTATTTCTGCCTCTTGAGTGGTGGGATTAAAGGAGTCCGCCACCACACTTAGCTTCAACCTTGCTTTCTTGACTTAGTCGGGGGACGGTCTCTGGATGGGATGGGGTGTGTTCTCAGGGGATTGTAACCGAAGAGTAAACACGAGACACCGTGGATGCTCCACGCTGTGCGACTCAAGGAAAACAAAAGCCATTACCTGGGACAGTGACCACCTTGGACAGCTCCCAGACGCCTGTCAGCCACGACGTCAATTTACTTTTGCCCTCTGGTGGAGTCACTCGGAAACGAGTCTGGCTGGCGTCGGGAGCGATCTAGTGAGCCTGCCGTGTTTGCTTTACTTCGTGGATTAGAAAGCCCGGAGGCGGCTCTGGGTACACCTGTGCGACTCTATGCACCTGTTTATCATTTGTTTAATACATTTTGCAAACCTGCAACAGTCAGCCTGGTCTACATAGCAAGTTCCAGGACAGCTAATGCTTGCTATTTGTGTTCCCCTAGTTCAAGGTCCTCCGCTCTGAAAGAGTGGGCGGCTGGGTTTGGAAGTCGGACCACTAAGAGGAAGGGACGCATCCTGGGTTGCTCACTCCTGGTCAATCCCAAACCAGATTTTTAGGTAATGAGGAGGCATCCTGCCGTAAAGACGGGAGGGCCCGAGACACTTAGTCGCCAGTAGAAAGGGGACCCCCAACGACGCAGAAGGAGGGGGCTCAGTCTGGAGATGTCCCGCCCCCGCAGGTGGAGCGCGCAGGCGCACTCCCTACACGTTTTCTCTGACCGCGGAGCCTCCATCCCATCCCGGATCCTTTGCCGCAGCGTCAGCGCCGCCTCCTCCTCTTTTCCTCTTCCGCCCCCTCCCGCTTCCCGGCTTCTCTAGTCACGGTTCCCGGAGCCGGTATTGAGCCCGGGGCCAAAGGGTGCCATGCTGCCCGGGTGGTACTGAAGCATGGCGACGCCGATTCCTCCGCCTTCCTCGCGGCACCTGCGGCTACTGCGGCTGCTGCTCACCGGCCTCATCCTCGGAACGGCCCTGAACGGTGCCACAGCCCTCCGCCCCGGTGAGCTATAGCTCTGGGCGCAGGCTGCGGGGCGCTCCGGAGCCGGGATCGTCGGGCGGGGAATCCTACCACCCGGCGCCACCCTCATCCTCCCTGCCACCGCCCTGGCCTCACCCGGGCCCGCAGGCAGGCCCGGTCTGCTGGGAATGGATTAGGTAAACAGGTCAGGCCCGTTGAAGGCCAGGCTGGAGGAGTCTTAGTCTCAGGTCCCTGGAGGCGAATGTAGATTTCTTGAGCTTCTGGTCTTTGTCTCTGGGTCCCTGAGCCTATTCGGCAAATGCCTCCGGATGTCTTTCTGGGCGTCTGCAGCCATCTGGTTCTCGATGTCCCTCAGAGGGGATCCTGTGTCTTTGTTTCTGTGTCTATGGGTTTTCCAAACGCTAGGGTTGTTCACGGTGTCTGTGGGCCTTGCTGCTGGCAGCCTTGTCTGGGGCTGGGGGATCCCATGGCAGAGTCGAAGAGTTCCAGGCCCACTAGGGTCTTGTTCTAACTTATGCAGTCAAGCTGCCACCATTCCCTGCCCTGGAGGGTACGTGCCACCCTGTCTTCTGGACTGAGGTCTGTGTGTGTTACCCTTCAAAAGAGCCCAGTCTGGGAAATCACTCTTGCCAGATGGGTCCTGAAGCTACAGGATCCAAATCGTATCTCCCTGAAGGGGGCGAAGTGGGAGAGCGTGCCCATATGCTCGCTCAGTTCTGGAGCTCTGAAGGGGAGGTGCTTTGAACCCAGCTTACAGATGAGGAAACTGAGGCACGGAGAGATGACTGGTATGTGGCACAACTGGGACTCTATCGAGATTGTTCTGAATGTGGGGCCTTTAAGACCTGAGCAGGCCTCTTTCTGGGCAAGCAACCCTGGACTGAAGGTTGGCCTGACAGGAAGAGACTCTTGGGGAGGGTGAGGGCCAGACCAGACTTTGCAGAAGTAGCACAGGCCACCTGCCTGCCTCCCAGTGCAGCCTCCTCGGGAACGGGACTAGCCGGGCGGTGGTGGCACACGCCTTTAATCCCAGCACTCAGGAGGCAGAGGCAGGCGAATCTCTGTGAGTTCGGGGCCAGCCTGGTCTAAAAGCAAATTCCAGGACTGCCCAGAGCTGTAACACAGAGAAACACTGTCTCGAAAAACAAACAAACAAACAAAAAGAATGGGACTATGGGGGCAGTGCTCAGCTCCTTCTTGGGCAGGTGCTGGCCTCTGCTCATTGGTTACTGTAGCTGGATGTAGAGACCTAGCATGACCCTTATCTAAGCATCCCCTTATCACATCTAGTGACCAGGAGAGGCCAGTCCCCGAACGGGTAGAATACTAGTTACTCTCCAGTTGCCATTGTTCTTGGGAACTCCTCATCACACCCAGACTAGAGAGGGTCTTTTCTGTCCAAGATTAAACAATAGACCGATGGGCTAGGGAGGTCCTGCAGCCCCAAACCAGCCTTGTGCGACACACCTCTAGTATAGAGGTCTAACTAGGTTCTCAGCACCAGGGGCAGGGACTGTCTGGCTCCGTGGAACCTAGCTGGTGGGTGGAGTCCATGTAAACCTCCCAGTACAGGTTTAATGTTTAACTATCCCTAGCCCAGATTGCTGTCACTGGAGTCTGCTGATCCAGCTATGGAGGATAGAAGGTGCCTGGCCTGGGATTCAGTGTGCCACCTGCCACCAGGGCTGCTGGAACTTCTTTGCAGGAGATGTAGAGTGTCACATTGCAAAGGAAACTAAGCCAAAGGCTGCGGAATGTTCTCCATATCCCAGGGGGCCCCACTGGCTTTGCCTGCAGTGTGCCGTGGTGGCTGGGCTAAGGAGAAGAAGGATCCAGTTGGCCAGAGACACTCACCAGTCAAGGTCGATGATTCCGCTGGGTATTCCTTGGCTTTGCCAACTTCCAGAGACAGGGACCAGGGTCCCAGATTGGAACTATTCCTTAGCTTTGAAGAAACTGAACTTATGTGCCCCGCAGGAGAAACTGAGGCACGAGGGTCACTGTCCTAGCTACCTGTATCAGCATGGTACTGATTGGCATGTATAAACAGAACATCATGCTCTGGGCCCCAAATGAGGAAGACAGGAAATTATCTAGACCTGCATCCTTAGTGCTGACCAGCGTAGGCCTTTCAGTGCCCTCGTTGTGTCTAGCCAGCTCCATCTTAGGTCTCCCAAACCCGGTGGCTTCTCTAGACAAAGGCTAGGCAGGGAGAGCGGCTGTCTTCTGGGCTGAGCATTTATTCTGTGGCCTGCCAATCTACTCCCTAGGGTTACAGGATTATGTGATGGAGGCTAGGGAGAAGCACCAGTGTTTAGGAGAAATGGCTACCCAACATCCTTTGCTCTGTCCTCAGTAGCAACCTGGATAAAAGGTCTTGGCTTACTCTGAGCCACACAGAGGTCCAAAACCAGCCTTGGAGAATGATACAGTCCTTCCCTAGAGGCTGACTGGACAGGAAGGGTCAGTTCTCCTTGAAGGGTAAGGCTTAGGCCTGGAAGCGGGGCTGTGAGGAGTGGATGGGACAGGGTAGTTCCCATAAGACTTGGAGCTGTTTGCTTCCTGCTTCTGGGACTTGGCAGCAGGAAGGCAGGGCCTGCCCGGAACAATGACCGGAGATAGGCCAGGCCAGCTCTGTGGAGGGAAGGGTTTCTGAACAGGGCTGTTGTTGTGCTGGGACCCAGCCAAGTGGGCTGTGATGGGCCATGCCTCCTCTGCTTCTTCCTCAGATGATCCCACCTGTCCTGGAAGCCTGGATTGTGCCCTGAAGAGGCGGGCCAGATGCCCCCCAGGTGCCCATGCCTGTGGACCATGCCTTCAGTCTTTCCAGGAGGACCAGCGAGGGTTGTGTGTACCCAGGATGCACCAGTCTCCAGGTATGCTGGAGTATTAAATACAGGGGACATGGATGGGTGAGGTATCTTCCCTACCCTCCTTCCCTACGCGGTGGGCCCATTTCCCTGAGTGCTCAGGTCCAAGACCAGAACGGAACTCTTGTAAGCCTAGGAGTGACAAGTCTTTTTAGCCTTTCAAGATGGTGCTGGCCCTGTGTTGGAAATAGGCTGAGGCCCCATGGCAGCTGAGTCCTCCTAGCATAAAGGCGGACCTCGGGAGAAGGAGAGGTCAGACCGTCAGAGCTTGGAACACGATAGGTCTGCTGAAGGCTGTTCCAGGGGTCTGCGTTAGGACTCTCTAGGCAACCTGTACATGCCACACGGCATGTTTGGAAGGATCAGTCCTGTCCTGGTGACGACTGTCAGACTGTCAGTTTGTCTGGATGCCCCTTCAGATGATGAGGGCTTTACCTGAGAGGTGCTGGGGATGTGGCCAGCCAGGTTTCCTGGGAAGAAGTAAAGAGGACACCGAGAAAAAGCCAGAGGGATTGCTGTAGATTGGGGTCCAAAAAGAAGCTCCCATTGTGAGGTACAAAGTGAGAACCAATCAGGGCCCGAAAACCTGCCCACCTCTATAGGCTCCTTCTTTTTTGATGGTGGCAGTAGCCTAGGTGTTTGAGTATACTGTGGCTTCTCTGTCTCTTCAGGATTTGCCATCTCCTCTTGGGCAGAAAAGCTGCCTGGGGATGGGCAAGGTAGGAAATGTGGTGTCTCAGTCGGTGCTCTGCCCAGCTCTTTGGGGATACTAGCTAGGTTAAAGGATTCTATTCCTTTTGTTTGTTTGTTTGTTTGTTTGTTTGTTTGTTTGTTTGTTTTGTTTTGTTTTTGGAGACAGGGTTTCTCTGTAGCTTTGGTGCCTGTCCCGGAACTAGCTCTTGTAGACCAGGCTTGGCCTCGAACTCCCAGAGATCCGCCTGCCTCTGCCTCCTGAGTGCAAGCGCCACCACCACCCGGCTAGGATTCCATTCCTTTTGTGAATCTCTGAACATTTCCTTAGCCGCCTACCCCCACCCCCACCCCCACTTAAAGACGCTCCCCTCAGTTGTCGCCATGGTAACCCAGGATAGTGAAGCTTTGGATGGGTCCCCTCCATCTCAGGAGGCTGCTTGCTGCAGGTGTGGTCTAAGGATCTAGGGCCTCTCTCTATGATGACCCCTCACACTCCTTAGGGGAGGACCTGGCCCGGCCTAGACTGGAAGAAGAGATCGATTCTCTGGCCCAGGAACTGGCACTGAAGGAGAAGGAGGCTGAGCACTCACGGTTTACGGCACAGCCCTGGCCTGAGGCTGCGCAGAACCTCCTGGAGCCCCGTGAGGACCCTTGCTCGCTTTCCTGACCCTGCTTCTTTGACGAAAGGCCAAGTCCTGTTGACTTTATGTGTTTGCCTCTCAGCAGCTACCCAGGGATTCTCAAAGTGGGGTCAAGGACTGGAACCCGGCCTCCCCTCCAGTCACGGAACCTCCCTGCCCACGCCCCACGCCTCCTTGGGCTCCCCTGTATCTTCTGGACCTGTGCACAAGTCCCCGCTGGAATCCCGGGGCAGGCATGGAAGTAGCCTCATCCTTGGTAGGTCCAGGTTGACAGTAAGGACAGGCGTGTGGTGGGTGGAAGGAAGCGGCACAAAGGGGATGGGGGATGGGGGCGGGCGCAGACTAAGGGCCCTCCTCAGGTGGCTCCTCACAATGGCTCTCTCTCGCACAGTGCTGGCCCTGTCTTTCTGCTTGGTGAGCATAGGCGCCCTGGCACTGGCAGCCCTGTTCTGGTATAGGTAAGCTGCTGACTCCAGCTGGTGGGTGGGGTCTGACCTTCAGCTCCCTAACAACCCCCCTCAACCCCACACCCCTTTCAGGCTACAGCGAGAGATCCGCCTGACTCAGAAGGCCGACTATGCCGCCACAACCAAGGTGCCTGCTTCACCTGCGACACCTCGAATCTCGGTGCGTGGCTCCTCCCCCACCAGGCGGGCTCTTATCCTGTGCGCCCCAGTGTTTGTTTAACATTTCCTCCCCCTTCCACAGCCTGGGGATCAGCGGCTGGCGCACAGCGCTGAGATGTATCACTATCAGCACCAGAGACAGCAGATGCTGTGCCTGGAGCGGTGAGCGTCCCTGGCCAGAAATGGCAGCCACTTTTCCCCTGTGCTTCCGCCCCATCCACACCTCACCTGGTCGCCCTTCCCCACCTGCACGCAACTTCTTACTTCCTAGCACCCCCACACACACACCCTCGCCGCAACCCCTTACCCTAGCCCACAGCCCCCACCCAGGGCAACAGTACGTTGAGCACCCACCTCTGGGCTCCTGTGCCCTGGAGAGTGCGCAGGGGACCCAGCTATCTCGCCCCCACCAGGCATAAGGAACCTCCAAAGGAATTGGAGACAGCTTCCTCTGATGAGGAGAACGAAGATGGTGATTTCACAGTGTATGAGTGCCCAGGCCTGGCACCGGTGAGTGCCCTAGGAGTGTGTGTGTGTGTGGGGGGGGGGGTATCTGTGAGAACTTCTCATCTTGCTGTCTCAGGCCTTGCTGCCAGGCGCTTAACCCAGTGTCTTCCCAGACAGGGGAGATGGAGGTGCGCAACCCACTGTTTGACCATTCCTCGCTGTCTGCACCGGTGCCCGGTCCCCATTCCTCACCTCCGCTGCAGTGACTCCTAGGCCGATGCCCACTTGCCTGCAGCCCACAGCCCACCGATGGGAGAAGCAAGTCCTGGTGTTCCCCGTGGAAAAGAACAGCATTGTGACCTTCTGCATGCTTTTGGCAGGAGGGAGGCACCAGCCCCTGGGCTCCTTTGCCAGGGAGATACTCTGTATTATGTGGGAGACCTAGCATCTGCTTGCACATTCTTCTCTGGTCTGAACCCTCAAACTTGAGGGACTAGTCCAGGAGCCCTAGAGCCCAGGCATGTATAGAAAGTTCTGGAGATAAAAGCCAATTAAAGTCTTTTTCAAACCTGTGAGCGGCTTCTGGCTCCACGGTCACTACCTCCCGGGGGGCTTGGTGGATGGACATTGAGTGAGGGCCTGGGACTTTCTCTTGCACCTCCAGAGAGAGGTGGTGCCTCTGTAAGGGACTTGGACTGGAGGAGAATCAAACACAGGACAAAACCTCACCCTCCACAGTGGGGACTTACCCCTGCTATCCACTCTTCTGCCCCAGAGTTAAGGAATTAGGGCTAGAGGGGCCCAAAGGTGGCCAGATTCTGAAGACCCATTCTGTGGAATAAAAAGGGTTGGAAGAGGGAACAGTTTGCATATGCCTGGTTATGGGTATCCAATGCCTCCATTTCTGTTTGCTATCTACCTAGGACAGAAAGCCAAGAGAATAGCATATGGGCCTGTGGGATTCTTTTTTTTTTTTTTCTCAATAGTTTACCCTGAGATTTTTTTTTTTTTTTCCCACCGAGACAGGGTTTCTCTGTGGCTTTGGAGCCTGTTTTGGAACAGGAGCCTAGCTCTGTAGACCAGGCTGGTCTTGAACTCACAGAGATCCGCCTGCCTCTGACTCCCAAGTGCTGGGATTAAAGGTGTGCGCCACCTCCGCCCCAGTCCAGCCTGTGGGATTCTTACAGGGCACAGGTTCCTGGACTCCTATAATGTATTGGTGGGGGAGTGAGACAGGCCAGGCAGATGGACCCGAGGAATGCAGTGTACCTACAGCCAGACATACGAGGCAGGGATTTAGGTAAGGGGAGTTATGTTGCTTAGAGCCTTACCTACCCAGCCAGACTAGTGACTATGACAGAAGCCATACTTTTAGTTCTGAATGAGTGAACGTGTTTGTGTGTGTGTGTGTGTGTGTGTGTGTGTGTGTGTGTGTTGTGTAACTTGTTTGTTTGTTTGAGACAGGGTTTCTCTGTGTAACAGCTCTGGTTGTCCTAGAACTCCTTTTGTAGACTAGGCTGGCCTTGAACTTACAGAGGTCTCCCTGCCTGTGCCTCCCTAGTGCTGGGATTAAAGGCATGCCCAGCTAAGTGAATGTATCCTGACTCCTTTAGTTTTTTTTCTCTACTAGTTGTGCCATCTGCAGGGATGGGTCAGGATCCTGCTGACCGCATGATTTCCTTTAGAAGCATAGGGAACATGTCCCTGTCCATTGACTTTCCTTCCTGTAGGGTGGACACCGGCTACAGTCCAATCTCTGGATACTCTGGCCTCTCTGATCAAGAAGATGGATGAGCTGGGCATGGTGGCCATGCACTTAGGATGCAGAGGCAGGAAGATATCTTGAGTTTGAGGTCAGCCTGATCGCAGTAGCAAGCTCCAGGCCAGTCAAGGCTACAAGTGAGACCCTGTCTTAAAAAAAGAGAGAGAGAAAGAAAAGCTATTAGAAGGGTCCCAGTGTTCCCTGGTGCTTAGTTAGGTTTCTATTGTTGTAAGAGACACCATGACCATGGCAAATCTTATAAAGAAAAACATTTAATTGGGGTAGCTTACAGTTCAGAGGTTCAGTCTGTTCTCATCATGGCAGGAAGCAAGCCAGCGTGCAGGCAGACAGGTGCTGGAAAGGAGCTGAAAGTCCTTACGTCTTAACTCACAGGCAACAGGAAGTACTCCGTCTTACTGAGCATGACTTGAGCACATATGAGACCTCAAAGCCTGCCTCAACAGTGACACACTTCCTCCCACAAGGCCACACCTACTCCAACAAGTCCATACCTCTTAAGAGGAGTGCCACTCCCTGTGGTCTTAGTGGGGGTCAATTCCATTCAAACCCCCACACCTGGGTCCTAGCTAACCGGGAGGGCATGGGCCAAAATATTTTCACTTATTCTCATTGGCATGAACCTGTACATCTTAGAGAACACTCAAAAGACTGCTTTACCAGCTTTGTGCAATTTATTTTACTTTTTTTTTTTTTTTTTTTGAGACAGAGTTTCTCTGTGTAGTCCCAGCTGTACTGGAACTCTCTCTCTGTAGACCAAGCTGGCCTGGAACTCAGAGATCCACCTTCCTCTGCCTCCTGTGCTGGGATTAAAGGTGTGCGCCACCACCACACCCATGTTTTTTCTTTTAGCATCATAAATTTAAGTTCTGTGTCACATTTAGATAAATCTTAGAAAATAAAACAATTTTAAGTAAGTCTGACCAGGCTGGCCTCAGACTCACAGAGATTCGTCAAGGTGGGATTTTTTTTTTAAAATTATTCTTGATTAATTAACAAAGAAACAACATATTTTTGTTTTGCTTGTTTTGTTTTCACAAAGCCATGCATAGTTTTCTTTATCTCATGATAAGTAAGTTGAAGTTTTTTTTTAATTTTGTAGGATAATTTCTGCAAGGGACTCTAACTGTTGTTTTAATACCTCTAGGTCCTGATCATCCTGTCTACTTAGTCTGGAAAGCATCAGAAGAGGCATGTTTGGTCAAATGAGTCAGAGACCAAGAGCTCTCAGGGGCTCAGTAATATTGCTGCTATTCGTATGAAGTAATCTGTATGGCAGAATAGGGGGAGGTGCCTAGGTTAGAGGATATCAGACAAGCCCCAGTCCTGTAAGTCCTGTAGCATCAATCTGGGCTGCCCCAAGTCACAGTGAGTTTTTTACATCCTGTCCTATGTATTATAGGGGCTGGGTGCCTAAGCATAACCAGCAACCCTGGCTGAGTCTTTGCTAGGATTCCCTAACTCTATCCCCAGGGTCCCTTTCTGTGGCATAGTTTGATTCCCCACATTTTCCCTGTTTTTTAAAGGCCAGAATCTTTTTATAAAATTTCCAGGAAAACTTAGTTTTATAACCCCAATTTTTGCAATGGAAAATTCCTTGTTTCTGGTAACCAGGGCCCAGCCACAGGGCAAGCATAGAACTCCCTAAACTCCCATGTCTTTCCCTTCTCCAAAACACTCAGATATTTAAAGTCGCATCAGCGACCAAAGGTCAAAGTAAATATAGATTGCTGGTCTGTAGTCACACTAGCCAATAGTTTCCCTGTATCTGTATCTCTTAGTCCCCAGGCGCAGGCCTGAGGGCAGTAAGGGCTGAACCATAACCCTGTCTTCATATCCAACACATTTCTCAGGACAGGGTAAAGGGGCAGGGAGTAGAAGGGCCTCAAGCCTCAGTGAAATGAGTATATAGTCAGGAGACAGTTCATTGGCAACATCCATGTCTTTCTTTCTTCCTTCCCTCCTTCCCTCCTTCCTTCCTTCCTTCCTTGACCTGCATATGGTGGATCTATAGTGCCAGCTATCTTTATGACCGTAGAAACAGAATCACCATGCAGAGTTCTTTTCAAGTCGGTTTCAGTGCCCATTTAGCTACCCAGACAATGTCACCAGACTGGAACAAGGGGTGGCTGGTGGCCACTGAGTCACTGGGCTGAGAGGTCTCTAGGACAGTTCAGTGAACAGCCTGTGTGGACGACCAGAAGGCTTGTAGTGGCTTGAGAAAGGAATGGTTAGAATTCTGCCAGCTGCTGTCTCTGAGCCTGGGGAGGTGAGGAACACTTTTGCCCACTCTGAAAAGGTATCTATAAAGACTAGCAAGCGCCTTTATCCTCCCTCTGCAGGCCGGATCTTGGTGGAGTTGGACTTCTTCCTGGCCAAGGCTCTCTGTTTTGGATCCATTTGAGCACAAACCTAGCATCTGGCTGAGACATCCTGAGTTAGGCTGTCTAGTTTAGATATAAGATATCTTGGTCTTGGGCTGGAGAGATGGCTCAGTGGTTAAGAGCATTGCCTGCTCTTCCAAAGGTCCTGAGTTCAATCCCCAGCAACCACATGGTGGCTCACAACCATCTGTAATGAGGTCTGGTGCCCTTCAGGAATACATGCAGACAGGATATTGTATACATAATGAATAAATTAAAAAAAAAGAAAAAAGATACCTTGGTCTGATTGGCTCACACCTTTAATCCCAGCACTTAGGAGGCAGAGGAAGGCAATTCTCTGAGTTTGAGGCCAACCCGGTCTATAAAATGACTTCCAGGACAGCCAGGGCTACACAGAGAAACCCTGTCTCGAAAAACCAACCAGCCAAACAAACAAACAAAAACTATACCTGGGTCTGGAGAGATGGCTCAGCAATTAAGAGCATTGGCTACTCTTCTAGAGGTCCTGAGTTCCATTCCCAGCAACCACATGGTGGCTCACAACCATCTATAGTGGAATCTGATGCCCTCCTCTGGCCTAAAGTTGATAGAGCACTCATATATAAAATAAACAAATCTTAAAAAAAAAAAAAAACATACCTTGATCTGAGCAACTCAGACAGTTTTGTGGACCCCAGATAACAGTGTGGTGAAGATCAGTTACCAGAGTCTCACCAGCTGTGTCCTCCACCAACCTGTGGGTTTGAGCTGTCCGTTCCTTTTTTACCATGGAGTCTCAGACAGCATTGGGTCATGCTAGGTCATCAGAATATCAATAGTTCCCGCGAATCTTAGGGCTGTTTGTCTAGCAGCCATTTTAGCAGCCCAATAGTAGAGGATAGCAATTTAGAGGCATAGCCAAATAGCCTCTCTTAGAACCAAGAGATTTTTTTTCAATTTTTTTTTTTTTTTGAGACAGAATTTCTCTGTGCATCTCTGGCTGTCCTGGAACTCCCTTTGTAGACCAGGCTGGCCTCAAACTCACAAAGATCTGCCTGCCTGCCTCTGTGTAGGCGGAGGCTGCTCGCTCGTTTCCTGGCCGCCCAGACCCGAAATAATCATACAGAAACTATATTAATTACAACACTGCTTGGCCAATTAGCTCATGCTTATTTCTAGCTAACTCTTATATCTTGAATTAACCCATTTCTATTAGTCTATGTATCATCATGAATATATAGTTTCTGTGTGACTATTTGGGGCCTGGGCGGCCAGGAAATGAATGAGCAGCCTCTGCCTACAAAATGGCGCCCACTTCAGGTCTGGGTGCTTGTGTGCCCACTTGGAGTTGGGAGGAAAGTAGCTGAGACCATGCCCTTGGCTCAGCACCACCCCCCTCAACCTGGGCAGGCGGTGGAATCAGGTCTCC